GGCTTCAATCAAGGTGTCAACAAGGCTGCATTTTCATTTGCAGGCTTGAAAAGACAAGAATGTACTTCCAAAGCTTACTCAGGTTGAAGGCAGAATTCAAATTTTTTTGTGTGGCTTTGGGACTGTGAGCTTCCATTTTTTTTTTTTTTTGCTGTTTGTCAGTCAGAGGCCAGCCTCTGCTCTTGGAGGCTATCCACAGCTCCCTGTCACATGGCTCTCTTCATAGGAAGTTCACAACATGGCAGCTTATTTCTTCAAGGCCAACAGGAAAGTAAGTCTGAGCCACAGGAGTCATACCTTTGCCATGTAACATAATGTAATCATGGGAATGACAGCCAATCACCTTTGCCATTTGGCTAGTGGTTTGAAAGTAAATCATGGGTTCTGCCAAAACTCAAGGAAGGAGATTACACAAAAATATAAACATCACAACTGGGAGAAACCAATTGTACTTCTTAGTCTTTGAGTAGAGTATCTAGGCTGGCACCCTCAATACCAGATGTTACATACTTTCTTCACATTTTCCTACCGGTAGCGGGGAAAGAACCCCCAAACTCCACAGACATTTGTTTATAAGCAAATGATCTTTTAAAATCAGCAAGGTGTGGTAGCTCACATATGTAATCCCCGCAGTTTGAGAGGCCAAGGTGGGAGGATCGCTTGAGTCCAGGAGTTTGAAACCAGCCTGGGTCACATGGAGAAACCCTGTCTCTACGAAAAATACAAAACTTACCCGGGTGTCGTGGTGTGCGCCTGGGTAGTCCCACTTACTTGGGAGGCTGAGGCAGGAGGATTGCTTGAGCCTAAGAGGCAGAGGTTGTAGCGAGCCAGGATCACACCACTGCACTCTAGCCTGGGTGACAGATGGACAGGACAGGACGGGAGGGGATGAAAAGGGAGGGGAGGGTTGGGGAGGGGATAAAAGATTATCTAAATTTTGTTTATATATTTTCATTCACTTAATACTCTTGTCAGAAACAAACAAACCCAAAACAAAGTAAAAACACTTGCCTCTTAAAATTTTGTTTTTAATTATGAAACAAATGATAAAAGGCAAACTAACTTCTGAAATGTTGTCTTCATTATATATATATTTTTTCTACTTTAGTGCAATTATGACAATCACATAAGTGTATGTAGTATATATTTAAATTGCTTGACTAGTTTTTTTCTTGTAGAGTGCATGTCAGTGTGGAATAATAGAGTGTATCTGGGCCAGGTGCGGTGGCTCATGCCTGTAATCACAGCACATTGGGAAGCCAAGGTGGGTGGTTCACCTGAGGTCCGGAGTTCAAAACCAGCCTGGCCAACATGGTGAAACGGGGTCTCTACTAAAAATACACAAAAATTAGCCAGGCGTGGTGGGGGGGGGTGCCTGTAATCCCAGCTACTCGGGAGGCTGAGGCAGGAGAATTGCTTGAATCTGGGAGGCGGAAGTTACAGTGAGCCAATGTGGTGCCACTACACGCCAACCTGGGCAACAGATATCTGGTATTTGGCCTCAGTTCCTGGCATGAAGTTCCTAAAACACTTGGTATTTCTGAAGTGATGAGTGTCTTTTTTATGCTAAATAGGCAACTCACTGTGGGCCCACTGAAGGCTTAAGAATCAGGGCTAGCCACCAGAAAGGCCAACTACATGAATAGGGGGTTAGAACTTTAGGCCCCTCTGACCTCCAGAGAGGAGAAGGGAGCTGGAAAGTGAGTTCAATCACATGGCCAAAGATTGAATCAGTCATGCCTACTAATGAAACTCCAATAAAAACTCTGGACACTAAACTTTGGTGAAGGTTTCTGGTTGATGAACACCTTGGTGTGTCAGGAAGGAGATACTCCCTGACTCCATAGGAAGAGGCCAGGCAGTTCCGCATTCATTCCTATACCTTCCCTTATGTTTCTCTTCATTGAGCTGCTCCTGAGTTGTATTCTTTATAATAAGCCTATAATCATAAATATAGCTGTTTCCTGAGTTCTGAGTCATTCTAACAAATTATAGACCAACAGGGCTCTCAGGAACTCCTAAATTTTTAGCCAAGTTGATTAGCGGGATGAAGAACTGAGACCTTAACTTGCAGAGTCTGCATTAACTCTGTGTGGTTAGTGTCATAATTGGGAACTGAAGTATACCCAGTTGGGTTAGAAACAGAATAGATTATTCTTTACCAAAATTCTGACTAGTGTTACACATTCCAAATAATATGCCAACTCTTTGGATATACTGGGGGAGGGGAGGTTCTATGGCTTGAGGAAATATAATTCTAGGTGATATTAATTTTAATTATTTTATTCCCTAGGTCTTTCTGGAATTGTTAAAATACACAGCATCAATACATCTTTTGCATACATTCATTAAAGTGCAGAACAGTGGCATGTCATATTGTGCAAGTCTTCACTGTCTTTTTTTATTGTGCAAGTCTTCACTGTCTTTTTTTTTTTTTTTTGAGACAGGGTTTTGCTCTGTTGCCCAGGCTTCAGTGTGAGTGGGGGCAATCATGGCTCACTACAGCCTCAACCTCCTAAGCTCAAGTAATCCACCCAGTGCAGCCTCCAGAGTAGCTGGGACCATAGGCACAGGTCACCTTCCTTGCCTGGATAATTTCTTTCTTTCTTTTTTTTGAAATGGAGTCTGGCTCTTGTCACCCAGGCTGGACTGCAACGGCATGATCTTGGCTCACTGCAACCTCTGCTTCCCAGGTTCAAGCAATTCTCCTGCCTCAGCCTCCAAAGTTGCTGGGATTATAGGCATGCACCACTACTCCCGGCTAATTTTTGTATTTTTAGAAGAGATGGGGTTTTACCAGGTTGGTCAGGCTGGTCTTGAACTCCTAACCTCAGGTGATCCACCCGCCTCGGCCTCCCAAAGTGCTGGGATTACAGGCTTGAGCCACCGCACCCAGCCTATTGTTTTTTTTTTTTTTTTGAGACGGAGTTTTGCTCTTGTTACCCAGGCTGGAGTGCAATGGCGCGATCTCGGCTCACCGCAACCTCCGCCTCCTGGGTTCAGGCGATTCTCCTGCCTCAGCCTCCTGAGTAGCTGAGATTACAGGCACACGCCACCATGCCCAGCTAATTTTTGTATTTTTAGTAGAGACGGGGTTTCACCATGTTGACCAGGATGGTCTCGATCTCTTGACCTCGTGATCCACCCGCCTCGGCCTCCCAAAGTGCTGGGATTACAGGCTTGAGCCACCGCGCCCGGCTTGTTTTGTTTTTAAATGTTTGTTAGGATGCTATGAGTGTGTTCCTAATAAACAGTTTTTTCTTTTTTCTTTTTTTTTCCTACTGGTATAATACACTAAGCTTACTTAGATTTCAACAGCTGTACATGTACTCATTCCACGTGCTTTTATGGTCTGAAGTCATCACTTGGAGGCAACAATGGAAAAGAGCAGTGTTGGAGGACTGGAATTCCTGTACTAGCTGTATGACCTTGAGCAAGCCACCTTAACCTATAAACAGGAAGTAATACCTGCCCTAATACATGATAGCCAATCATTTCACTTACATAAAAACTGAATATATATATTTTTATGAGATATGAAGAAAGATTCTTCTTGCCGTTTTGCCATTTTTCCCATAAGAAGCCTGGTGGTAAAGAGCACAGGCTTTAGAATCAGGAGTCCTGTTTCTTGAATTCTAGCCCTGTTGCTTGTTAGCTGTATGATTCCAGGCAAGTTACTTAATCTCCCTGCCTTCCATTTCCTTGTATACCTGAGACAATTCCCACTTCAGAGGATAGTTTTAAGGATGAGATGAGGTAATTCAATGAGCATTCATCCAACATATAGGAACCACTGTGCTTACTGCTATATTGGATAAACATCCCCTTGTCCACTATATGTGTGACATACATTCCTAGCCCTGGGATTAAAAACGACAATATAGTAAAGCGACATTATGGGAAGAAAATACTAAATTTTCTACCAATGTATCTTCTTGGAACCAATAATAGGAATCTGACATGTTTTTGTGAGCTGTTACAAATGAATCTGCAAGAATGAATCCAAGTACAAAATATCAGGTCTTGATTTAGAAGACATTTCTTAACTAATAGCACGTTTCCAGTTAAGGTGTTCACCAGTGAACTGTGCCAGGCTGATGAACACAAGGTCACAAATGACACGAAGATCAGAAGTGATGGCATATACCATACACAACTGTGTAACTAGTACGGGACCTAGCGTAGGGTAAATGCTCATAAATATTAACTGAAAAAAATTAAGTTCGGTTTCCAACTCTGCCACTTCCCCACCGAGTGACTCTGGGTTAACTTGTCTGGATCTTAGTTTTCGGTAAAATAGAAATGTGTCTGCTTTGCCTATCTCATAGGATAGCTGTGATCAAATGAAATTACATGAGAATGTATCCAGTGCTAATAAAACGGTCGTTTATGAGACACAGAATGACAACTGGCACCAGGTAGCCTACAAGCCTAATAGTAGAGATAAGACGTTAATGCATAACCACCAGGAAGTAAACATGGATATCTAGTGAAGAAATCCATCACGTTTTCTAAAAATGTCACCTTCCTTGTGACGAAAGGAGCTGGTCATTGCTAAGCAGGTGCTGTGCTTTTTTCAAATCACATGTTTCAGCAACAGGCTCTGCTGAGTGGCGTTTGGCAAGGCTTAGCCTCCAGTAGGCGCCGGCGCTGCTGGGGTGCGCATTGGGACCCGCAGATTATAAGCAGCGGATCCTACCTTCAGGCCTGGCTCTGACAAGCACTCCAGGTAAGGCGCCTTTGCAGCTAGCGGAGCGAGAGAAGAGAGCTGGAAGCCACCTCTACCTTCTGCTGGGGAAAGGAACTGCCCGCCCGCTTGCCCCCATTACCTCGGACCTCCGGAGGGCGCCGCGGACTCCAGCTTTGTCTCTTGCCCCAAGACACCCCGCATTCAGGACCCGCGCGTCTCCCGCCAATCTCCGCGCCCCGGGTCCCTGCTTCCCGGCACGTACACGGCGCGCTAAGAGGCGCGGGCAGCTCGGCCCGGGCCGGCTACTTACTGGCTTCCTGGCTGGCGCCTGCGGTTGAGCTGACCCGGTCTCCCAGCACCGCCGCTCTCGAGGCTCCCTTTCGAGGACTGGACTTTAGTCAGAGCCCCAAGAGCAGCTCCCGTAGGCTTTCCAGGAACCGAAATGCTAGGCACCGCGGAAGGCGAGGAGGAGGAAAAAGGCCGAGCCCGGGGCGGGGAGGCCGTTTGGACACGCCCCGAGCTCTCCTAGGTTGGAAGCGCGGACCGAGGGGAGAGGCTGAGGCCGCAACCTCCTTTCGCCCTGCGCCGTCAGGCCTCCCGCGTGACCCCGCCTATGACCTCGGGGCGCTCCGCCCACTTCTGACCGTCAGATGCGCACGCGCACTTGCAGGCTGGTTTTGCCATCTTCATGTTACCCGGAATGGGAAAAAGCAGGTGTCGCGAGAGTTGGGTGCACGACACCTTGTAGGGACTGTAACTATGGCGGGCCTACGTATAGACAGCGAACAGGAGCCGCTCTTGGGCGACACACCTGGAAACAGGTAAGCAGATCCTGGTGGAGGGACACTTCAGCCTCCTGCGCTGCTAGGACTGGCTGCTTTCCGGGCGTCAGCCGTACTGAAACGAACCCTCGTTGCCAGCGGGGTGCCAGCGCGGTGGGAGCCGGCGGCCGGGTTGTGTGAGCCGAAGAGATTCGCTCCCAACGTAGGGGAAAGTGCGTCTGGCCGCACGGTGCGGCTATGAGTCGGTGGGTTCGGGTGACGGGGCTAGAGAAACCCAGGCTGCTACTTTACCTGTTGCAGCAGCGAGGTCACCACATTCTCTTATCTTCTGCATTACATATTTGGCCCTTTGTAGCTGATCACTTTCCATATTTCACATAAGTTCCAAAATGATGGTTTTAATGATACTTGAAGATGTCGGTCTTAGTAATGACCTGCAGCCTAACTGCCTGACAACTTCTTGATACTTTGTTAACAAGTAAACCTGTCTAAAATGAGCTCACATTGGTCCTATGCCAATTTTATAAATAAAGACTAATTTTGAGACATTGAAAGAATAACGTGTCAGTATTTTGATCGTTGTAATTCTGGTTATTTTCATCCTGGTTTATGGGCAGTGATTCAGAAATGTTTAACTTTTGTTTCTTACTGCATACTTATGTATTTTTACCTTCAGGAAAACAGAATTATTATTTTATTTGAAATATATATAATAATTATCTCAAGTAAATTAACAAACTCAGTTAAACTCCAGCTGTCTATGACCATGTTTTTACTCATTTGTTCCTCTTAAGCACCAGACTTTTTTTGATCACTCTAACTCAAAACCCTTTGGAAAATATATTTCTCTGGTCCTCAATTTACTAAACAGTATATGGAATGCAGTTTTATCTTTACTTGATTTTATCTTGAGATCACTAAAATAAATATCGATGCTGAAATGTATTTTAACAAGGTGATGTCCTTAGAGCCTATTGAGACATTTAGGACTGTTTGCTTCTATACTTATTTATTTATTCTACACTGCTATGGTTTTTTTTTTTTTTTTTTTTTTTGAGATGGAGTCTTGCTCTGTGGCCCAGGCTGGAGTGCAGTGGTGCGATTTTGGCTCACTGCAACCTCTGCCTCCCAAGTTCAAGCCATTCTCCTGCCTCAGCCTCCGAAGTAACTGGGTTTACAGGTGCAGGCCACCAGACCTAGCTAATTTTTGTATTTTTAGTAAAGATGGGGTTTCAGCATGTGGCCAGGGTGATCTCCAGCTCCTAACCTTAAGTGATTCACCCACCTCAGCCTCCCAAAGTGCTGGGATTACAGGTTTGAGACACCACGCTGGGCCCGCTGCTGTACTTTTTAAGTACTTATGTCTGCTTTTAGTTTTTCTGACTATTCTATTTCTGGCAGACTGTTCTGCATCATGTTTTTGAAATCTGGCAGCAAAAGTTTTTTCTGTTGTTGCTGTCACCATACTTTTTCCACCAGCTTTATTTTGGGGCTTCTTGTTTGTTATAGCTTTGATAACCTTGTATCTATGCTTAAGATAATTGTGTGTCATTATAACCTGGAAGTTCTGACCGAGAGCCAAATGTCTTTCCTATTAGTTAAGTGGGTAAGCTTGAGTACATGGACTTTGTGACATTTGGTTTTCTCAGAATTCTTTTTGCTTCTTCCTGGTTTTTAGCTATTTTCCAGAAAAATCACAAGATCCCTGAGTTATGGTTAAGTGTGGTCTTCTGGTGCATTCTGTCACCTTGTACAAAAGAGAATTTTTTTTCATACTCTTACATTTGATCCAAGTAATTGATGCTCATTAGGATCTGTCCAAATTTAGGTGTTCCCGCCAGTAATCAATACCTCTGATTGAGGTTCTAGATTCAACATTTTAAAAACAAAAAAGGAATATTTTGAACATAATTCAATATGTCTTTAAAACACAAATATATTCCCTAATAAAGTAAACCTTTGTACCACTAGTTGGCAGGACCTGTTCACTTTGAATATATTGCACAAACATGTCTGGGTCACCACCAACCTTTCCTCACGAACAAGGTTGGTTTGCTGGTCTGGTGGATCTAGGCCTCTTGAATCCTCAGTGCTCCCCACTGACCTCCTCTATGGAGCTTTACTTAAGACAACAGGAGTTGGCAAACATTTCCTGTAAAGGCCCATATTGTAAATATTTTAGGCTGGTTCAGGGCAAGGGGCAAAATCAAAGGGGCAAAATATATAATTATAGATATGTAGATAACCAGAAAACAAATTCCACGAACATTTTTTGTAATGACATTTAAAATATAACAATAAATAAGTATAATATAGGTCTGTTAATGAAAGGGATAGAATTTGGTGGGAGAGGGGATGACATTTTCCTTACTTGTACTTCAGAGTTGGTGTTTTCTGTCATCAAACTGATAACAAGTATTCATCAGTAAAAACCATTTGTAGCTCACAGGTTACTGATCCAATGTTACAAGTGGTTTCAAATTTTCCTTGCAACCTTAGCCTAGTCTCTGTAAAATTTGTAGTATTAGGGCATCTGTCCTTATAGAGCATATCTTTATAGAATATTTTCAGTTTGTCTTTTTATTTCTGTAACTGTTATACCACTGCGCTCTTCTGTTAGTGAGCACACAATTCTTTCTTTTCTCTCTCTCTCTTTTTTTTTTTTTTTTAGACGGAGTCTCACTCTGTCGCCCAGACTGAAGTGCAATGGCAAAATCTTGGCTCACTGCAAACTCCACCTCCCTGCAACCCATGCCTCCCAGGTTCAAGTGATTCTCCTGCTTCAGCCTCCTGAGTAGCTGGGATTATAGTCGCCTGCCACCATGCCCAGCTAATTTTTGTACTTTTAGTAGAGTTGGGGTTTCACCATGTTGGCCATGCTGGTTTCAAACTCCTGACCTCAAGTAGTCCACCCGCCTTGGCCTCCCAAAGTGCTGGGATTTCATGTGTGAGCCACTGTACCTGGCCATTGTTAAATTTTATCTAACTCATTTTGCTAATCAGTTCACTACACTATATTATATATTCCTTTTAGTTTTTAAGTCACAAGTTTGAGAAGCATGTTATCATTTGGAGTATTTCAGTTTGTGATAGAAATGTTGAACAGGATAAAACTGTAGCACTACATTTTTACTGGAAGGAGAATTTCATATGGGGAACTAATGCTGGAATACAACAGTAATTATAGAAAGGAATTTTAAAAGTTAAGCAAATCATCTTGAAAATGCAGCATTCCTGTTTATACCCTGGTAATACAAGAAAGAAGCCTCTAGAAATTCAATCTCAGGCGTGTGACACATTTGTCTGAATCATCAAAGTTAAGAAAATGTAATAAATATGGTCAATTTGTTGAAGGACAATTGCATTCTCCTGTTTCTATGATCTCCAGCAAAGTAGAAAGATAATTTTTTCACTGAAGTTCTAATTTTTTAATTAAAAAGAAGGAAAAGTAAATTGTTTTATTTTGAAAAATGTTAAATCCATAGAAAAGTTGAAAAAATCATGAACACTCTATATCCTGTCACTGTTAGCCTTTTCCACACTGCTGAAATTTTTCTGTGGGTACACACCCACACACCCACACAGACTTTTGCCAAACTACTCAAAAGTAGGTTGTAGACATTGTGACACTGTATCTCAGATTGCAGCTTACATCTCCCAAGAAGAAAGAAATTCTTTTACGCAACTCTATCACTGTTACCACAACTAGAAATACAGTATTAATTCAAGAATATCATGCAACCTATAATTAATTCTCAATGTTTTTCCAATTGTTCCAAAAATATACTTTATATTCTTTATAAAAACAACAAAAAAAACAGGAGCCATATGGAAGAGCTAATCAATGTTTAGGCATTCGTTGTTATGTCTTTTTAGACTCCTCTAACCTAAAACTCTCCTTTGACCTATCTCTGTTCTTGTCACCATTAAAATATTTGAAGAGTCTAGGTCAGTTTTTTGTAGAACATCTCATATTCTGGATTTATGGACTGTTTATTTCAAAATAGACGCTGGCCATTTCTGGCAGGAATATCACATGTGTTGTGTTGAGAACATCCCAATACATTGCATCAAAAGATACAGGATGCCAGGACATCCTACTTTTGGGAATGTCAAATATGACCACTTATTAAGAGAGCGACTGCTATATCTTTGAATTATAAAGGTTAGTGTTCCATTTTATAATTAGTAAGCAGACGCTGGAGTGACACATGAGGGCTTTTGACTATCCTCTCCTTAACAATCTTTTTTTTTTTTTTTTTTTTTTTTTTTTTTTTTGAGACGGAGTTTCGCTCTTGTTAACCCAGGCTGGAGTGCAATGGCACGATCTCGGCTCACCGCAACCTCCGCCTCCTGGGTTCAGGCAATTCTCCTGCCTCAGCCTCCTGAGTAGCTGGGATTACAGGCACACGCCACCATGCCCAGCTAATTTTTTGTATTTTTAGTAGAGACGGGGTTTCACCATGTTGACCAGGCTGGTCTCGATCTCTTGACCTCGTGATCCACCCGCCTCGGCCTCCCAAAGTGCTGGGATTACAGGCTTGAGCCACCGCGCCCGGCTCCTTAACAATCTTTTAACCAGTTGTTTCAGCATCCGTTGGTGATTCTTCCATTATTACATAGAAAGTAGCTGTTAAATTATTATTTTCTAATTTGATCCTTTCAATATTTAATAATTGTCATTAAAAGAAGAAGGATTTTGACTGAGCTCTAAATCAGTTTGAAGGCACTTAAACAATTGTGTTATATATTTTTGGAATCAAATAATTTACTTCTTGATTCCCTAACTTAGATATAGACGGAGTTTCCCTCTTGTTACCCAGGCTGGAGTGCAATGGCGCGATCTCGGCTCACCGCAACCTCTGCCTTCTGAGTTCAGGCAATTCTCCTGCCTCAG